GCTGAAGATAGATAGCAAAAATACTAGTAAACAGTGTAAATTCCCAGGATTATATGAACCTTGTAGTCAAAGCCAATGTCTTTCATTCTCGTTATCTTTCTGGAAATCATTTCTTTTCTCTCTAACCCTTACCCTTTTTTTTTTCTCTTAACTGCAGCCCTGCTTATGTATTATGGCCTGCAGCATTATTTATCATTGGCAGGCTCCTTGATTTTCATCCCCTTAATCATCGTACCAGCCATGGGTGGAACAGATGTAAGCATTGTTTCTCATGGATACCATGCTGTTTTCTACAATACAGGACAGCAGTTGGCATAGCTTTATTGTTGACATATCTTCTTTTACGTAATTGATGACAGAGGGATACCGCCGAAGTGATTTCTACTATGTTGCTGATCTCTGGCATTACAACTATACTCCACTCCTACTTTGGCACCCGACTTCCATTAGTTCAAGGGAGTTCATTTGTATATTTAGCACCAGCATTAGTTATTATTAATGCTCGGGAATATCGGAATCTAACGGAACATGTAAGTTTATAACGAGGAAAGTATAAGTATATTTTGTAAAATATCTAGTAGGCTTGTCTAGCTTTGTCATGAATTTTGAAATTCCATTGCGTTCTCACTTCTCAGAATAGGATATTTTTTCCACAAACTTTTGGGAATTGAAACCTGTCCATAATCTATGAACTTCTGATTGAATGAGATATGTGACGGAAGTATGGATAATTCTTTCTGTATCTTTTCATATTTAAAGGATTGGCGACATTTGCAATCCATGACTGATTTGTTATTGTGTTTTACTTTTATTGAGTACTGTTTTGATACATTTTTGCTAAACTGCAGAAATTTAGACACATTATGAGGGAACTACAAGGGGCTATAATTGTTGGTTCTCTATTCCAAAGCATCTTGGGAGTCACTGGTTTCATGTCCCTTCTTCTAAGGTAAATGACTAGTTTCTTGCCATGTCTTTCTAGTCCTTGTTCAAAGAATATGACCATTATCCTATTATGAACGCATGTGTTGGACGCATCACACCTATGCTTTACTCTTCTTCTTCTTCTTCTTCTTTTTTTTTTTTTTGTATAGAGTGGATTTTGCTCAGTTTTAGCACAGAATTAGGAAAGTTTACGGCCTGATTTTGTTCTTTTATCCTAAATTGACAACTTTGACAAGAAAGAAGATCTATATATATTCATCATTAACAGTCTGCTATATTTGATTTATTGTTAATTTTTTCAATATCTCTAGTGAAGCATTGCCAAAGCTAAAATTGTAGGGTTTGTCCACAATAAGTTGAATTTTAATATCTGCTGCTAATGCCATCTTACTTGTTAAATATTGTGTTGCAGATTGATTAATCCAGTTGTCGTTGCACCAACTGTTGCTGCAGTAGGTTTGGCATTTTTTAGCTATGGTTTTCCACAAGCTGGAAGCTGTGTGGAAATCAGCATTCCTTTGATACTATTGGTTCTTATATTTACCCTAGTGAGTGGTATCCCTTGCAGATTAAGCAGTCCTTTGTATAACTGGCATTCGTGTGCATTCATTCATTCTATTTCTAGTTTTTAAAAACATTGCTCTAATTCCTATGATCTTTTGTCATCGTATTTACTTAATTGTTTGTATGTCTCACAACTTTCTTTCAGTACCTCCGAGGAATATCTATCTTTGGTCATCGCATATTCCAAATATATGCGGTAAGTTTTTTAACTCTCTGTATTGCCTTTTTTTCTTCGAATAATAGGAAATTTTACCTCTATATTTTACAATGATTTTCCTTTTTCTCCCTAAAGAAAGTTGATGCACTTTTACTCTTCTCACCTGTAGCAGTTAGATTCTTACTGTACAATTTGGTAACTTAGTGCTTATTTCTACCATCTTATCACTTGGAAAAAAATCAAACAAGAAGATCTTATAGTTTTTGCACAATATATATAATGTTCATTACCTTTCTCAATTATGTGATGAATTAGAATGTTATTTTTCCAACTCAATAACGTTTTCATACTTTAAAATAGAGATAATGAGTGAGAGAAAGTCATTTCATTTAGATTCAAGTTAAAATGAAGGATATTTTGAATGCTGACAAAAAATTATCTATATGCCTTTGGCCTAGTGATAGCGAGCTCGTTGTACTTGCAAAGAGGTTACGGGTTCAAAAACCCTCCCTCTAGAGCATTTGAGCTTAAAAAGTCCCATTACAAAAGGAGACCAGAGTAGCTTCTTATCTTTGTAGTATAGGCCAATTCAGTCTCTCGTGGTAACAGGAATTCCCTATCCAGCTAACTCCTAAATATGGCTGTATATTTAAGAGAGAGAGTTAGAGTTGAATAGATAGCATTGGGATTCTTACCATATCCATTGCATCCAAATCAAATAAATGGATAAAAAATTTTGTATATCTTTTTTGTGAGAGCAAAAAGGTAATTCAAGTTGATGGAACACGCATAACTAACAATTTGGGGTTTTCTTGTTTACATGGCATTCTGGTCTCTCACTCCAATTAAATTTTGATGTTTTAAGAGTATTTCCTTGGACAAGTGCTATGGTGGCTATATTTGTACAAATATTCATAGTTTTGAAGCTAGCCCGGCAAGCCGGAACGGGGCTGGGTTTAAAAAAATAAAGGCAAAAACTCGGGTGACATAATCAAAAACCCTGGTTGCAACTCCTTGACTATTTATTTATTTTTAACAAAAACGACATCATTTTTTAAAAAAAAAATTGACCCGGGATGTCCTAGTCGAAACCCATGGCCTGAGCCTCGAACCGGGTTTTAAAACTATACAAATATCGTGTTACCAAGTTACGAAGCTATTTATGTAACAATTCCCTCTTTTAGTAAGTAAGTGCACAGGATGGATGGTAATTACAAGAATAATATTGGTCTTGGGGCCTCAATCAATGATAAGATTTGAAACGAAGGGCCCCCTTTTTCACTAATGCTACACCCTTGGGTACTTCCATGGTAAACCTGTTTATTTCTATTACTTGATTAAAATTGCTTACATTTATTTTTCAGTGCAGGTCCCTTTGAGCGTCCTTATGATATGGACATATGCATTCTTCTTGACAGCTGGTGGAGCATACAACTACAAAGGTTGTAGCCCTGATATACCTAGTTCTAACATCTTAGTGGATGCGTGTAGAAAGCATGCATATACAATGCAGCACTGCAGGACTGATGCTTCCGATGCATGGAGAACTGCTGCTTGGGTCAGAATACCGTACCCATTGCAGTGGGGTGTGCCCATCTTCCATTTTAGGACTTCCCTGATCATGATAATAGTATCACTAGTTGCATCCGTGGATTCGGTTAGTAAATACAAATGCACAAATATTAGCTTTTTTTTATAATTGATCTGAATTCATGTACAGCAAGCTTCATATTCTACAAATTTTTGGGTTTACCGTTAAGTAATCAGACACAGAACACCAGATCATAGTATAGCAGGGTGCTTCTGTCTTTCCATCTTAATGGAATGAAATAAATAATGAAAGGCATGTGACTGCAGCTACTATGGAAAGGTTAAAAGGTTAATATAGAGGGATTTTGATTTTTTGGTTTTAAGGATATTTTGACTTAATTAAAAGAGAACTGACCAAAGAACTGTGACTGTGACACTGGTTTACCAGGTTGGAACTTATCACTCCACATCTTTGCTTGTTAATTCAAAGCCTCCAACTCCACGAATTGTTAGCAGAGGAATTGCGTTGGAGGGCTTCTGCAGTGTATTGGCTGGAATTTGGGGTTGTGGCACCGGTTCAACAACATTAACAGAAAATGTTCATACTGTCAATATAACAAAGGTGGCCAGTAGAAGGGTTGTAGAGATTGGAGCAGCTTTCTTGATCCTGTTCTCATTAATAGGTAAACATCCTTGTGAAGACAAAACTACATGTTTGAGAGCGATCAATGCATGGTCTTTTGTTAATTAGTTGATGCATGCTCGAAAGTGCAACCATAAACAAGGTCTGGAAATCTATAGAGCAGTTCTGGCATCTACTTGTTCAAGTAGGATGTACACTGGACATATGGAATTAGGCTTTGAAGCAGAAAGTATTTTCAGAAGGCTTCCAATAGAATTTACAACAAAAAAAAGACTGTACAGGAAATCCTTGAGTTCGTTAGTGTCATAGTATGGGTGTTATCTTGCTGACATGTTTACTTCTGATTAATAGGGAAAGTGGGTGCCATACTTGCATCAATACCCCAGGCCTTGGCTGCTTCAATACTTTGCTTCATGTGGGGCCTTATCGTATCACTAGGTCTCTCAACTTTGCAGTACAGCCAAACAGCAAGTTTTAGGAACATCACAATAGTAGGTGTTTCACTGTTCCTTGGTTTAACAATTCCTGCGTACTTCCAGCAGTATCAACCTGAATCCAGCTTGATACTACCAAGTTATTTTGTTCCATATGCGGCAGCATCAAATGGACCAGTCCAAACCAGCAGTAAACAAGTATGTCTCTTTGCCATTTCTATATGTAAGAGCATTTATCTGTCGTTGGCTCATGCATTTCCACTCATCTTTTTATTTCCAATGCTGAAGAGTTGATATTCCATTTTCTATATTTCAGTTTGATTTTGCAATGAACGCTCTCATGTCCTTGAACATGGTTGTGACACTCTTGGTCGCATTTGTGCTTGACAGCACCGTCCCAGGTAGCCGGCAAGAAAGAGGAGTGTACATATGGTCTCGTGCTGAAGACATGGCAACTGACACATCTTTGCATGCAGATTATTCCCTGCCAAGTAAAGTTTCCAGATTTTTCTGTTGAGCAAGGTGTTTGCATGCATGATATTAGTTTGGTTGCATGATGTGTTCGGTGCATGATATTAGTACAGGTTATGTGCGAGTAATTGTGAAGTTCCTAGGTTGAATTGCCTTCCCGTTAGTTGGGGGATTGGTGGGTGGTTATAATGCGTAGTTCACACCAATCAAAGCATAGTAGTGTATGATCTTTATAGAACAAAATTGAGAGACTGGATGCATTACAGAATTAGTAATACTATTGTAATTGGAAGAAACTTTGTGTTCAGTTACAATACGTGTCTATTTGGTAGAAGGTTCTTCGGGCTTTTGCATGTGGCGTTTGCTGCATCATTAGCTCTCAGTGAGTGGCTTGCCAAGCCTTCGCCTTCTTCTCAAGTCACGAACTTTCCGATCAAGCTCCAGTTGAGCTTTATTCAAGCGTGCAATCAGCAGATAGCACGAGTAATTACATGGTAATGAATACAGTGTATCATGTCAGGAAGCAGTGGATTTCCTTCTATTCCATTCTTGAATTAGGGAACGAAGGGTGTGATTCGGAGTAAGGAATTTGTGCTTAAGCCTTAAATTTGTCATCGGTGAAGTATCCCGCCCTGTGTTTAGCCATTCCTCGATGGCTTCCAACTCATACGAAAATCCATCCGCTGCAACATGCGGATTTTTCATTACCTCCTGCACTCATTATCGTCAATTATGTTAGTTGCTACAGCACGTTACGTGGAACCTAGAAAAAATGAGATAGCCTTGTATGCCATTTTTCACAAAGATGAGATGAAGCTAACCTGTAATATAGGGCAGAGGAAAATGCTTGGTGCTTCGCTTGAGTCTTCTCTATCACCAATACTTCCATTAACTACCACCTCACATCCACTTTTGGCAACTACATCATCAGCTTTTCTAGTAATCTTTTCAAGCTCTTCCCTTGTTTTTGCTAGACTGAAATCTACTTTGCACTCCAAACACCTCGTTGCTATCGCAACAAGTTCATAAGCTAAATCCAATGGCCACTTTCCGGCCCTCTCATCTAAAACCTTAAGCAGGGCTGTCTTGTCCATTGCCATGGCCTCCTCGACCAGCCCGGTCGGATTTCTCCCTGTCAAAAGTTGGAACAGTAAAACTCCAAAAGCCTGAATATTAGGCAGCGTTTCATTTGCATCTGGACTCTGAGTTAGTCTGAACCCACCGATCTTAGCAACTAGATTGCGGTCGAGGAGGACATTCGATGCTGTCAAGTGAACTTGAGCGAAGGGTCTGGGTCGAGCCAAGTGGAGGAAGCTCAGGCCTGAACATATCTCATGAGCTACCCGGATCCTATGATTCCACCTGAAGGCCCGGTTTCTTTTTCCATGTTTTATTTGAGAGGACGAAAACAACATGTCTCTTAAGCTTCCATTGTGCATACATTCAAAAATGATGCACCTGGGCTCAGAGCAAGACCCAATAATGGCAACCAAATGCGGGTGTCTAATGCTGTTAAGTGCCTTCACCTGCAAAATGGATGTTACAATTGGGTTCTAGGTAACAAGAGGAATTCGATACAAGCTTTTGTCGTGTATTAACCTAATGACAAGAGGCATAATTAAGTTCTTGTGCTTATCTATAACATCACCTTAGCTAGAAAAGCTTCTTGAGACAATCCATAATCGAAATTGAGCATTTTGATCGCAACAGTCGTGTGATTGATACGCCCGCGATATACATTTGTCAAATGCCCGCCGGATTTCAATCTTAGACTCTCAGAAAAGTTGTCTGTTGCTGATCTGATATCCTTTGTAGTGTACTCTCTGTAACCACAGCATAATTCATTCAACTTTGCCACCGTTCCCACGGCATCCTTTTCCTTACAGAACTCGATCCGACGCCGAAGAACATCTCTTTGTCTCCGTAACTCCTCGATCTCTCTAACCATTTGTGCTCTTGCAATGACTGCCTTCTCTAACTGAACCTCCACATGTGATCTTGCCATAGTTGATGTTTGGAGCTTGCTATAGACCTCTGATCGGAGCTCAACAAGGGAGCTTAGCCTCTTCTTGCTTTCTTGAATATCACGTCTGATTTCTTGAATTTGTTCATTCTCGGCATCCAAGCTTTTACTTAAATCTAAGCGATTCAAGACCTCTTCTTGAATCTTCGCTTCAAGTTCCTCAACCTATAATATGATTTCCTATTAATGGCAACCCAGAAGAAAGTCATACAAGAAATAGCTTATATATTAATTAAGGAAGTCAAGAGCTTATATTACCCGGCTATTGCACAAACATTTAGCCCATTCAGCTTTTGCACATCTTTCTGAATTGACTTTACTCTCTTCCCTCTTCATTTGAATCATTTTCTGGGTTCCCTCCATTCTCCTTCTCATAGATGCCATTTTTGCTGCAACACTCTGAACTCATCGCAACATCTTGGCATCGGTTAGAAGAGCTTGGAATATCAATTTAGATGAGAAGTGTGTGGGGGAGGGGACACTAAAATTCCTTAAAAGTTAGCTTCTCAAGGATTCATTTTCTGCCCACAACCTGGGACAGGATTGGGATTACATTTGATAATGGCTTTGGTTCACTGGCATCCAAACTTCTCTATATTTGTTAATCCATCACTATCAGAAGACCTCTTAAAGTATAATGCAAAGTCAAAAGAAGGATTAGAAAGAAATTACGTTGGTATCATTTAGCCAATTACTTGGACTTGTTGGACATTAAACATGATTTTCAACTACTACATTATAATCACCTTTTTCATTAGGACCTTGCATGATGGCCACATATTGTAGAGAATTTTGTACAATTTACTAGCAAACAAAAGCAAAAAGGAAAATACGAGTAGTAGGGGACTAGTTGAACGTGAGATATCGTATGGCTGTTTACAGCAAACAAAGAACTATGGCCACATACTGCAGAAATATCTTGGATATTTGCTTACCATAGCCATGGTAGAAACAGCATCTTCTGCCACACCTGGTTCCGTTGAACCAGCCTGCAAAATATCATTCTCTTCCTTGCAGATTTCTTCATCTAAATTCAAAGACAGCAAATGTTCGAAATAATTTTCAATCTCTTGGGCATAATTTTCCCACTGATTCTCATTCTCTAGGGCTTTTGACGAGGCAGGTAACTGGTGAGGATCATGGGAGTTGTCGGTAAACATTTTTCCTAACCAGCTTCTAAAGTTGGCCTTTTTTGCAACCATCACTCCTTGATCATCCTCCATGAATCCTTCTTCCTTTTCTCCTTTAAGGAGCACCAAATTTTGGATTATGCTGATGAATGTGGGACGATCCACTAATTACACTCTTCGATCTCCTACGGTGAATGGAAATTAGTCGATAAAAGAAGGATTGTATATCACAAGAATCATGAATACACCACGTCAATATCAAAGAGAAGTCAATGAACTTAAATAATGCTATGTATAGATATCTGGAAACCCTTTAAAGATATGCATATACCATGATGAAGAGGACTCCATGAATGCAAGTCTCATGACTAATTTGGTTATCTCCTGAGTGTGGAGATCAAATCTACTATGACTTTATGAATGGTTTCATCAGATTTTTCAACTTTCAATAGATGCCAGCCTTTATCCGTTTACAAACATGGTGGGAAATCCTAACTAAGAAACCATCAAATTAAATGAAGAACTGGAGACAAAAATTATTGCAAAATCAAAGAAGCTAGCAACTTAGAGACAAACCTTTCCACGGAAAGCTATATACTCGGAGAGCAGCTTGTCTATCTTTCCTTACTCATACTTCCTAAGAACTTCCAGTTTCTCATCACTCACAGAGCTGGCAGGTGGCTTCCAAGCTGAAAATTCATTAAGCCAAGGTAGTTTCCAAAGCCAAAAACATATATATATGATCAAAATTAGTGGAGTCCACTTACACGGGGTGTAAACAAAATCCTTGGAAACGTTAGTACTGCGGGTCACATGGAGAAAGAAAGACTACGGAGATTGGATTGATGGATTTCCATTTCCCAAGTGTCCAATCCTAAGTCTTGAATCCATGTTGTAAATCATTCCCAAGAGCAACACACACCTTCTCCACATGACTATCCATCAATCACTTGGCTTCTGAGAACATAAATAATCCAGCGAGCATGCATTTAAACAGAAAGATTTGAAGACCAGCACCACCATAGAAAGTAACACAAAATCTGGTCTAAAAAAAGCAAGCAAAGGGATCGAAACAAAGAAGGGTGGGTTGGATTATTTTCAAAAAGCTTGCTAACAAGTTTTCAAGATTAACGACCTTTAGGAGGGGACTGTATGCTTATTTAGTATTACTAGAACTGTCTTCTTTGGACTTTCTTGGATAGGTTAGTAAAACGTGGCTTCTCGGACCCCCACCTTCTTTTGTTTATTTTATCAAGGTTGAAATTTTCTCAGGTGGATGCATTCCTTGGATCCTTCTTTGAGCTCCTCTGTACACATGGCAATACCGAGTTTTAAACGGTGTTTAACCTTAAAAGGCATTATTCTTTTTATATATTTTCAAGATAAATACAGTTTAAATCACATAAATAAGCGCAAGTTTGCTGTAATTTTTTTAAATTATTATTATTATTATATATATATATATAAAAAAAAAAAATTCACCCGCAATACTACACTATACCCATATCACAGAGGACCAGGAAATCGAGCAGGGATCTACCTCCAAGAAAGAGTAAATTATTTTAGAATGAAACATCGGGCAATATGATTTTGCTGATCAGTAACCGACAGATTAATCTTCTCTTTTAGATAATACAACCAACTTTATGACTATTATTTGCAAATGGTATAATAATAATAACAACAACAACGTGCCTTGACCAAAATTCTCAAATCATGCCGTGGAGCACGAGACACGCGAGGGTAGAGTAGAATCTGCTTGTGTTTGATTTTAAATTAACAATTGAAGGTAAGACATAACCTCGTTGAGTTGTTGTGATGATTACCGAAGCATGCTTCCTTTCTTCACTTCTCGAGCTTAAACTTTTGGAAAAACACCCCAGTAAATTTATTAAATTCACTTGAACATACCAAGTAGATATGAAGGGTGAGTCTTTAAAATTAGTTAAAAATATAAAAGTATTTTTTACTTGAAAATAAATTAAAATAATTTATTAAAAAATTAGTTTCTGATATTAACATATTAAAAGAATTCAAAAACATAAAATAATAAATTAAAATTCATCTAACTCTATTTAGAATGAAATATTATTAATTGATGTATGACGTGATCTAAAAATACATTTCTAAATGGGAAAAATGTAAAACATTAAGCATATGCAGTATGAGAATAAAATTTTGTCTGATGATGGGATCCAATAAATTTTAATTCCAAGTTTTATCAGGGGTAATAGAAAATAAATAAATAAAAGAAAAGGAAAGTAAATGGTGGGGTTGAAAGAAAAAAATGCATGGATCCTAAAATTTTTATTTTTCCCCACCCCCACCTCAATTAATACTTAACCCCTAATTAATCCATTAAGGGGGGCATTTGACATGGTGTTAAAAAACAGAGGTGAATACTACAACAATAATTTTTGAGAGTATAAAAGCTGGGTTTCAAAGATGTTTGATGTGTTAATAAATTGAATGTTAAATAATAATAAAAAATAATTAAATTATCAGTAATGATTGCTGATGAAAAAATAAAAAGTATTAGATGTGTATTGGGAGACGGGCGAGAAACAGAGCGAAATTGTTTGGAAATTAAGAGTAAAATATATTCTTTAAAAATACCAATTTAGAAGGGTAATCATCGCCATTCTTAATAACTCGCCTTTCTAAGAAAATCTTTCTTGGTAATAATGAAAAAAAAAATAAGGGGTTAACTTTAATGGTTAAAACAACTCTAATCCAAAATCTCATAACTTCATTTTTTATTTAAAAAATAAAAAAAAAATTAAACAAGATACCAGAAACATATTATTTTTTACAAATTAATTTTTACAAGTCATCACAATATCAGGCACAACAATAATATTGTTATAATCAAAATAAATTTATAAACAAATAAATGATCAAAATCCAACTTTTTACAAGATAATTGCCGATACAATCTTTAGTAGTAATTTTTTTTTCAGATGTAGAGAATGCTATTTGAATTGTCCAATATTCATCTCTCTAAATTTTGTTTTAATGGGTGTTTGGCATTACGATCAAAATATTATTTACTTATAATTTGAGATTTTTTTATTATCTTAATATATTTATATTAAAAATAATTTTTTTGAAAAAATAAATTACTATATAAACAAGCTATCATATTTTGCACAAAGACTCTTACAAAAGAGAATTTATTGTTACAAGGAGTGTCTGATGGCCTTTATTATATTCAAAACACCATTCTAAAATATGAGTGGATTTTCTGTTGATAAGATATAAATAATTACCAATGATATGTTGATCTATCATTAATTTCTCTATCAACATGCTAATTTTTTTTGTTTCTTCTTTTTAATAAGGAGAAGCTACAATTAAGAATTTAATTTTTATCAGAAGCATATAGCAAGCTCGCTAATTTTGTAATATCCATCAATTATCCTGCTATGTTACTTTTTTTTTTTAATAGGATTTGATTGATCACTGAATTTTGAACTAAATGTACTAATTTAAAAAATAATAAAACATATAGGGACTAAATTATAATTTACTCCATTATGATTTGATCTCCAAATTGGATTTGGATAATATCATGTCCATTTAAAATCCATCCCACCCGCTAAGCCCCTGTTTAACACAAACGGTGGCGACCATTTTGCCAATATTTAATTTTTAAAATTTTAAATTATTTTTTTAATCTGTTAATGTTAAAAAAATAAAAAATATATATTTTAATAAATTTTAAAATAAAAAATATTTCAAAAACCAACTTTACAACTTTCTTTTAACACTTTGTAATAATGAAAAGTGCATGGAAGACAAGTGTAAGACTATCAGCAAATAAGACAAAATAAATAAATAAAAAACGAAAAGAAAGACACCACTCCCCAGGGTCAAAATGGTAAAATGAAAGAAAACACAAAGAGAGGGAAATTCTCAAAATTGCTTCCGCCAGTCCGGATCTTTCGCGACGTTTCCAGACAAAATTTCTTCACTGCATAGCCGAAAATTCTCCACCGGAAGATCTGAGGATTTTTTATATATATATATATATATAATAATAAATTACTATATAAACAAGCTATCATATTTTGCACAAAGACTCCTACAAAAGCGAATTTATTGTTACAAGGAGTGTCTGATGGTCTTTATTATATTCAAAACACCATTCTAAAATATGAGTGGATTTTCTGTTGATAAGATATAAATAATTACCAATGATATGTTGATCTATCATTAATTTCTCTATCAACATGCTAATTTTTTTTGTTTCTTCTTTTTAATAAGGAGAAGCTACAATTAAGAATTTAATTTTTATCAGAAGCATATAGCAAGCTCGCTAATTTTGTAATATCCATCAATTATCCTGCTATGTTACTTTTTTTTTTTAATAGGATTTGATTGATCACTGAATTTTGAACTAAATGTACTAATTTAAAAAATAATAAAACATATAGGGACTAAATTATAATTTACTCCATTATGATTTGATCTCCAAATTGGATTTGGATAATATCATGTCCATTTAAAATCCATCCCACCCGCTAAGCCCCTGTTTAACACAAACGGTGGCGACCATTTTGCCAATATTTAATTTTTAAAATTTTAAATTATTTTTTTAATCTGTTAATGTTAAAAAAATAAAAAATATATATAAATATATTTATAAACAAAAAATATTTTAAAATACAACATTTATCATATATATTATAATATACCAAGGAAGTATTAGTATATATATCATGTAACTAATTGG